CGAGCTCGGGCGAGCTCGGGTGAGCTCGGGCGGTCTCGGTGGGCGGTAGGCTCCTCCTGGACGAGGCGCCGTCCGCGCTGCTCTCCCGCCAGGTCTTCGACGACCTGCTCGCGCTGCTGCAGCACCCGCTCGGCCGCTCCAAGCCCGAGGCGTGCGCCATCCTGCTCGCGCTGCTGCAGCTGCCGCCGCCGGCCGCCCACTCGCCCCACGAGGACCAGCGAGCGAGCTGGCGCCTCTCCCGGCTGCTGCCTCTCGCGCGCGCGGTGCGGTGGCACGCCGCCGACAGGGACGCCTCCAACCTGCTGCCGCTGCACGCGCAGCTGTACTCCGAGCTGCTCGCCTCGCTGCCTGGCCTCTCCCCGCTCGCCGAGGTGCACCTGCCTCGCAGCGCCGCCGTGGAGGCGCGCGTCGCGCTTCTCGGGCCGGCGGCCGCACCGGGCGGCGCGGGTGCCGGCGCGGGCGCCGGCGCGGGCGCGGTGGGCATGCCCCCGCGGCAGGCGCAGCTGCTGCGCCGCCTGGCCGATCTCGGCGCGGTGCTTGTCGCCGTCCTCGACGGGTACGCCGCCGCCGCCGCCGCGAGCGAGGAGAGGCTGCGCGCGCCGCTCGCCGCCGCCGCCGCCGCGCTGCCACCGCCCGCGGTGCTGTCGGCCGCGAGGCGCGTGGTTGGTCGGTGGATGCGGGACTGCAACGAGGGGCCGGGGTGCGAGGGCTGGCCGCCGGACGGGTGGGGCGCTTGGTGCGCGGAGCTCGACCTCGAGCTGATCGCGTACGCGCGCTACCTCGCCACGCGCGGCAAGAGCGAGCGGAGGATGAGGGACGTCTCGCGGGCAGAGCTGTGAATCGTCCAGCTGTGAACAGTGCAGCTGTGAATAGGATGAGGGACGTCTCGCGGGCAGAGCTGCTCGCGCCGTGGAGGCCCGGAGCGGCGCGCGCAGAGCTCGCCAAGCTCGGCGGCAGCTGCCCTTCCCTCGCCGCGCTCGCTCCGACGGCAGAGAGCGACACGGCGCCCATCGCGGCGCGGTGGGCCCTGCTGGTGCTCAACCACGAGGCGGAGGCGCTGCTGTGAACGGCGTCTCTTCACGCGCCCCCCCCCCCCGTCCGGAGTAGGTGCGGCTCAACCACGAGGCGGAGGCGCTGCTGCCGTATGCACTCACCGGCTGGTGCGCCGCGCCCGGCACGCTGGGGGGGCGGCTGTCTGCGCTGCGCCACCTCGTCTTTTACGACGTCAAGATGCGCGCGTGGGAGGGGGGGCTGCCCGACAAGGCGGCCGACACGCCACCCATCCAAAAGTCCAAGGAGGCGGTCGTTGTGCGCCTCAACCGCTTCGAGGCGGAGGAGGCGATGCAGCGCGCGGCGGGCGGCGCATCGCGCTCGGCGTCGCCCGCCGCGGGCGGCGAGGGCGACGAGGGCGGCGGCGCCAGCGGCAGCGAGGAAGGAGGCGGCGGGGAGGGCGGCGGCGGCGGCGGCGGCGGCGGCGGCGGCGGCGGCGGCGGCGGCGGCGGCGGTGGCGGCGGAGGGCGCGGCGGCGGCGGCGGCGGCGGCGACGGCGGGGGCGGGAGCAGCGGCGGCGGCGGGTCGGCGCTAGCGGTGGAGGTGGGGGGCGGCGAGGGGTCCCCTGCGGCGCGGCGCGAGTCGGGGCACAGCGGGACGCTCTTCTCCAGGAGGTGTGAACACAGCGTCTCTTCACACCCTCTGCTGTGAACAGGCACAGCGGGACGCTCTTCTCGCAGATGCTGACCGGGCTGCGGGGCGCCGACATGGCAAAGATGCGGCGGCGCGACCGCGGGTTCCGCGTCAAGTTTGTGGGCGAGGCTGGCGACGACTACGGCGGGCTCTACCGCGAGGCCTTTACCAACTTGTGCGCGGAGCTGCAGGCCGACTCGTCCGAGCTGCTGCAGCGCTGCCCGAACGGGCAGCACAGCCTCGGCTCCAACCGCTCCTCCTTCTTGGCGCGCCCGTCGGCGAGCTCTCCGCGAGCGCTCGACGGGTGGCGCATGCTCGGGCTGCTGCTCGGCTGCGCGCTGCTGCAGCGGGACACGGTGCTCGACCTCGAGCTGTGCGAGCATGTGTGGAAGGTGCTCCTATTCACAGCTGCACTGTTCACAGCTGGACTATTCACAGCTGCACGTGTGGAAGGTGCTCCTATTCACAGCTGCACTGTTCACAGCTGGACTATTCACAGCTGCACGTGTGGAAGGTGCTCGTCGGCTCGCCCCTCGACGAGGCCGACCTCGCCGGCTTCGACGACGCGGCGGCAAACTCGCTCCGCTCGCTGAGGCACATCGACCGCGAGGGCGTGGACGCGGCGCTCTTTGGCGACCTCTTCTTCAACTGCTTCGAGGTGGAGCTCTCCGACGGCTCGCTGGTGGAGCTGTGTGACGGCGGCGCGGCGCTGCCAGTCACCTTCCACAACCGGCACGCCTACTGCGGCCTCGCCCTCGCCGCGCGGCTGGCCGAGGGCCGCGCGGGCTACGCGGCGATGCGCTCCGGCGTCGCCTCCATCGTCCCATGCGGCCGCCTGCTCGCCCTCCTCACCGGAAAGGAGCTCGAGCGGCTGGCGTGCGGCGTCGCCGACATCGACCTCGCCGCGCTGCGACGGCACACGCGGTACGGCGTCGGCGTCTCGCCGTCGCAGTCGCACGTCAAGCACTTTTGGAGCGCGCTCGAGGCCTCCCCCCCCTTCTTCTCGCCGGCGGGGCGGCCGGTCCGCACGCCGCCGCCGGCCTTCACACCTGCCGCTGTGAACAGGCCTTCTCCCCCGAGCAGCGGCGCGCCTTCCTCAAGTTCATCTGGGGGCGCAACCGGCCGCCGCCTCGGCCGAGGCGGAGTGGCGCGGCGCGCCCCTCCCTTTTGACCGCCTCCCCTCCCCCCATCTAGGCTGCCGCTCACCGAGGCAGAGTGGGGCGACGCGACGATGCGGGTCCACGCCCTCGAGACGCTCACGCCCGACCAGCACTTGCCGGTGGCGCACACCTGCTTCTTCTCCATCGAGTGGCCAAAGTACACCTCGCTCCACATCGCAAAGGCCAAGCTCTCCTACGCCATCACGCACTGCGCCGGCATCGACGCGGACAACACCTCCGAGGCGCGCGCGAACGCCCTCGCGGACGCCTTTGCGCACCTCGAGGGCGACGGCGGCGCCGCCTCGTCGGATGCGCCGCGCGGAGCGGCGAGCAGCCGCCTCGCGCGCACCTCGTCGAGCGAGACCGACGCGAGCAACGTCTAGCAGCTTTCTGCGGTGAGGCACCTTGGGGAATTGCGTTGTGTTGTGTTTGTGTGGCGCACGCGAGTGGCTTGACGTCTCTCCAGCGCGTCCAGCGGCCCCCTCCCCCAGGTACGGGGTATATACTATCTCTCGTCGTGTGGGTGTTACGAAACTCGAAATTATGTAAGGCGCGCGATACAAATTATGTATCTAAAAGGTGGAACCCGGCGCCATCCTGGCTCACCGCCACGAAGAGGACAGTGCAAGTACAAAAGAATTTAAATAGGACAACTCTCTCTCACAGCAGACAGGCTCGACACAGGTGCGAACTGGCGCGTGCTAGCACTATCACAGGCACACCACCGGAGCCGCCTAAGCGACTCCGCACAAAACCCCTCCGTGTGCGGCGTGCCTACTCTCTGGGCCCTGGGCCCCTGCCTGCTCAGATATGGCATATGTAGAGATACAGGACGATGACCTTTTTGTCCCGGCCAGCAAGGCGCCTATCTATCCTGGTGTACGGCGAGGACATTGCACTGTCTGAACTAGGTTGGGCTACTACTACGTTGCATTGGGCAGGTGCCAGGTCGGATCAACTCAGGTCAGAGATGAGATCGGACAGGTCGGGCGAATCTGGCAGGTCCACGAGGTCACATGTCGAGCAACTCTCCTGGTCTCCTTGAGTCACTTGCCAGTGCGTATGCGCTTCGACGATCGATCCATCGAACCACCTGTCCGCGAGATGCCCGCACCGGACCCACATCTCATCGTGCAGCCCGCCAAGGTGCGCGAGATCGTCAACGCGCTCGTTGTTGAGGTTCAGAGAGAGCTGGTCGAACAACTCAAAGGACAACAGAGCGTCTTCTTCTTCTTCGTATGAACTCGAGGTGCAAGATGAAGGAACCGCAGCCTTCGCCTTCTTCTTCTTGGACATTGCGCGTTTGGCGGGCGGCGTGAGGTAGTTGGCGACGTCGGTGGGGGGGCCTTCGGGAGACTCAGCGCGCGCAGCAAGCGCATAGATGGAGCTGCAGCCTGGAGGTGGACGGAAGCAGGCCGGGCTCGCAAAGCCAGCGGCGCCGCGGTTGCGTTTGGTTGGCGACTTGCAGGCCGGCGCCTCGATCGTTGACGCCGCCTCGACGGTCGTGATGACGGGGGAGTCCAAAAGGTCATTGGCGAAGGTGCCGTCAGGCACCTTAACGGTCGCGACGACGGGGTAGGGGAAGACAGGCTCCTCCATCGCAAAGGCACTTCGCTCCAAAAGGTCAGTGGCGAAGGTGCCGTCGTCGATGATCAGTGCGGGCAGGGAGCAGGATTTCGCCTCGTCGGCTGAGGTCTTGCCTGTGGCCTCCTCAGCCTTCCCCGTCCCGATGGGGTCCACCTCGGGTCTTGCGAGGGATGGCGACCGCTTCTGCCGCCGCTTCTCGCGACGCATCCTCGCATTCCATCTATTCTTGATGGCATTGTCCGTACGGCCGGGCAACAGCGTCGTCATCTTGGACCACTTGGTGCCCATCTCCTGCACAAGGTGCAAGATCAGCGCATCCTCCTCCACGGTCCATTCATCCTTGTTCACCCTCGGACAGAGCTGGTTGTGCCACCTACCAGCGGTGGTGGTGGTGGGGGGCGGCTCCGGGCTGGGAGGTTCTGGTGCTGGGCGGATAACTAGCCGTGCTGTGTGCCACGGGGCTCACACCTTTCGCGGCATTGCTTGCCAATCCTGCCAGGGAGGTGGGACGCGATTTTGCCCCACCGGTGCGGACCAAACCGCTGCACGAGCTCAAGGAGGCGGTCATCCTCGGCGGGCTGCCAAGGGCGTTTGGCCACGCGGAGGCCCCCCCCGGCAACATCCCTAGCAATATCCTCAGAAGCGTTCGCCTCGTGATCGGCCGTCTGCGTTCCACCAAGATGAGCCTCCATCGGACAGATGACTACTGCGCCACTTTGACTGACCGACTGACTTTCGATGACTTGAGCACTTGAGCACTGGATAGGGTCGATTCCGCGTGGTACGGGACCCCTCGATCGTCTCGCCCTCCCTCACTGGAGTGTTCATTGAGGGGGGTCATAACAAACACGGTACAGGATCGACCGACTGACTCGATACTTTTGAGAAGGTCCCGGTGCCCAGCCCTAGGCCTAGGCCCTAGCCCAGCTGCTTTTGGGGGGGGGTGAGGGTGGGCTCCGCGTTTCTTTTTGGCGACGCCTGGGTGTGAGGTTACCGACTTGAGCACTTGAGCACTTGATAGGTCGATTCCGCCTGGGTAGCAGCCTGGGAGGGCGTGCGAAAAAGAATAGCGAAAAACACTTTCCTCGATCTCGCGCAGCAAAGGAAACCGCTCACTAGATCGAACGCACAATTCTTTCTCACACACTGTTCTTCACCTCTTCCACCTCTACATCAGGAGCGCGACAGCAAAGGCCCGCGCCGTCGCCATCGGCGCCACCGCCTGCCACGCGTTGGCGGTCGGGTCGTACCGCTCCACCGAGCTGAGGTAGCCGTTGTCGTAGCCTCCCACAGCATAGAGCTTGCCGTCGAGCACCACCACAGCGTGATGGCACCGAGCCGTCGCCATCGGCGCCACCGCCTCCCACGCATCCAGCGCCGGGTCGTACCGCTCGACCGAGCTGAAGGTGCCGCCGTTCCATCCGCCCACAGCGTACAGCTTGCCGTCGAGCACCGCCACGGTGGGAGCTGCCCGCGCCGTCGCCATCGGCGCCACCGCCTCCCACGAATTGGCAGCCGGATCGTACCGCTCGACCGAGCTGAGGCGGCCGCCGCCGTCGCTGTACCCGCCAACAGCGTACAGCTTGCCGTCGAGCACCGCCACGGCGTGATGGCCCCGCGCCGTCGCCATCGGCGCCACCGCCTCCCACGAATTGGCAGCCAGGTCGTACCGCTCCACCGAGCTGAGGGTGGTGTCGTCGTCGCCGATGTACCCGCCAACAGCGTAGACCTTGCCGTCGAGCACCGCCACGTCGTGGTTCTCGCGTGGTGTCACCATCGGCGCCACCGCCTCCCACGCGTTCGCAGCCAAGTCGTACCGCTCCACCATTGGAAGTTGCGCCGTCCTCACTATTGTCGCCCGCCGCGTAGAGCTTGCCATCGATCACCGCCGTGCCAACAAAATCTCGTGCCGTCGGCATCGGCGCCACAGCCTCCTCCTCCCACTCGTTTGTTGAAGGGTCGTACCGCTCCAGCGAGTTGACAAACTCGTCGTTGTCCTCACCGTAGCCGCCGATCACGAGCAGGCGCGGCCTCTCGCGCTTCGGCAGCGTCTCCTTCCAGCCGCGGCGCCACGCGCGGCACGTCCCCTTGACGGCGTGCTCCGTGGTCGGCAGCTGGGCGAGGATGTGTGGAGCGAGGTCCGGCGAGAGGAGGACCTCGGAGAGGACCCACTCGGGCTGCTCCACGAGGCGAGCGACGTGCTCCTCCGCCACGCGCAGCGCGGCGTCGCTCGCGCCCGCCTGCGCCTCGATGATGGCGCACAGCTGCGCTGGCGAGAGGCCCGCGACGCGCGCGCCGATGCGGTGAGAGGCCATCGGCGCGGGTGGCGCGGGCTGAAGCCTGGGGCGGTGGGAGAATGAGAAAATCTGCTGGGCTGAAATCTAGTCCTCCCATCCCTCCCTTGGGTTGTCTGGTTCCTTTCTTTCTTTCTTTCTGAAATCTAGCCGTGTGTGCTGGCGTCCGGGTCCGGGTTTTCACGTAACAAGTACACACACTGTTCTTCACCTCTCCACCTCTAAATCCACCTCTACATCAGGAGCGCGACAGCAAAGGCCCGCGCCGTCGCCATCGGCGCCAACGCCTGCCACGCGTTGGTGGCCGGGTCGTACCGCTCCACCGAGCTGATGAGCTGGCCGCCGGCGTAACCGCCCACCGCATACAGCTTGCTTCTATGGCGGCTTCTTCTGGGGAGTAGGCGGGCTATCTCGAGCTCTTTGAGCGGGCGTTGCGCGGCAGCGCGGAGGGGGCATGTGAGCCAAACGGAAGCGTGCCGGTGTCTTGATTGGGTAGTTCTCTTCTTGCAAACCGATTATTTTTGCACTACACCTTACACATTAAAAGGTGTGCCTACATGCTACATGGCGGCGGCTCGGCCGCTCTCGAGCACACGGCGCCAGCCCCAACGCGCGCATGAGCGAGTACGACCAGGGAAGCAAGTTCATTTGAGTGACCGCCATGCCATGCCCCAGGAGCTGCGGCCCGTGCTTCGCCTCGAGCGCATCTAGCAGTGCCGCCTGGCCCGCGAGGCCGATCCGATTGTTCGCGGCGATCACGCGACATCCCTGAGCTGCAGCCGGGAGGGCAGCCGCGAGTGTCATCGCGCCCTCGTCGCCCACATCACAGTACGACAAGTCCAGCGCATGCGACGGCTTGCCCGTCGCTAGCGCCGCAGCTAGCGCCACTGCTCCCTCGTCGCCAATAGGTGTCTGACTGACGCCGAGCATCTGCAGCGTCGGCGCCACGCCGCGAGGGAACGCGCCGCAGAGCGCGCCGACGCCGCGCGCGCCGAAGCGGTTTGCCGGTAGGATGAGGAACTCAAGCGCCGGGAGCGCGCGGTCCTCGAGCCCCGCCGCAAGCTCCGCCATGCCCTCGTCGTCGAGGCGATTCCCAGCTAGGGCGAGGGTCCGGAGGCTCTCGCAATGGTTTAGCGCCTCCGCCAGCAGCGCCGGGCTAGTCCACGCGTCGCCACGCACGAGCGGCAGACCGATGTAGTAGAGCTTCTCGACCGTTCCCAGTACGGTCTTCGCCGTCTTCTCGTAGAGCGCCTGTACGGTCGCCGAGTCGGCGCCGTTGGTGAAGCGGCAAGCGGCGAGCAGCTTCGCCATGCGCTCCGGAGTCGCGGGGAGCCGCCGCTGAGCGCCGCCGTCGTCGCTGGCGACGTCGATGACGAGCTTCCACTTGGCAAAGCCCAGCGAGGCGGGCTTTGCGCCCAGCTCCGCGGAGCACCGCTCGAATGTTGTCCAGCCGCGAGCGTCGTAGGTCCGGCTCCGGTCAAAGCCGGCGGGCAGCTCGTCGGGCAGCTGCGTGAGCAGCACGACCGTGATCGAGGCGTGCGCGTACCAGAGGTCCTAATGCGGAATGTAAAGCCAACGTGCCGTGAGAGCGGTGCATGTTGTGACGCTATCAGGGGAAGAAGGAGGGGGTCGGCGTGTGCTCACCATCGTGTTGTCCAGCATGCGATCGAAGGCGGCCTTCTCCGCGGCCGATCGGCTCGCCTCATACGCGCGCCGCTCGGCAAACAGCGCTGGGTCCTTCTGGTAGCCCGAGCTCCAGTCCAGAAACACGCCCTGCGCGAGCCAGGGAGAGAGTGGCGGTGAGGAAGGGAGTGGCGATGGGCAAGGCGCGGGAGGCAGCTCACCATGTCCGAGAAGCCGTATTCGCGGCACGCGCCGAGCAGGCCGCGCCCGCCGTAGAGGCCCCGCAGCTTGCGGGAGAGCAGCTGGAGCTGGCGGCCCTCACGATCTGGATGCGCCGCCTCGAGCCAGCAGTAGGAGACGGAGATTATCGGGAGCAGCCCGTCGGGGTTGCGCTTGCGGCCGAAGAACAAGCTCGCGGAAAAGCCGAGCCAGGACGAGAGGGAGGGCTCCTTGATGTTCCGCTCCAAGGCCTCCTCCAAGTCGGCGAGGTCAAAGCCGCGCCTGGCGCCTTGCTCGATCCGCCTCAGCTGAGCAGAGCTTAAGAAGGCCTCCTCTGGCAGGTCCTGCCGCCGCGGGAGTACGTCGCCCCGCTCTGCCAGCGCCATGAGCCAGTTCAGACTGATCAGCTTCACATCGCCCGGCCGGACCTTGTCGCCGTCGCCCTCGAGGGCAGCCCAGACGGAGTCGTGCTCGCGATAGCGGGCGCCGTCGTTGGTGTTTGCGTGCGGCCGTTCGCGAGCGTGATGACCGGACTCGGTGTCGGGGAGCGTCGGCTCGCGGTTCGGGAGCTGTGAGGCGCGCCGGCAGAGGCTGTAGACGGCGAGGATGAGGGGGCTCCGGAGGATCAGTTGCTCGATAAGATTTGTCGCGAAGAATAAGATGGCAATCGGCAGGTCGACGAGGAGCACCATCGGAAGCAGATATGGAAGGCGACGCCAGGCGAGGAGGGCGGGAGGCACGCCGACAGCGCTGTCGGAGCTGCAGAGGCCGAGCGCGAGAAATGGTGACCACACGAGAACGAATAATGGAAACACAATCGGAAAGAGTGCTGGCCAGAGCACGGAGCCCACGAGGGTCTCAACGCACGAGCGCGGCAGGCGGGCGGTGAGACCCATGCAGCAACCAGAAGGCAGCCGCCCTAACAAGGCGTGACAAACAGCTTTCGGCGACTCTTCGGCATTGATTCTAATTTTCTTTTTTCTGGCTTGATTTCTTTTTACTGCTGCTGCTGCTGCTGCTGCTGCTGCTACGTCTTCGGTCCCCGCGGGAAGCCCCGCGCATAGGACAACAACGTCTGTCCCACACACACACAGACGCGCACATACATCATGCTCGGGCACACCCCACAGTGTAGTGGTGTGAGTACACAAGTACTAGCAGAGTGCACACCTGCCTTGGCGGGTGAGGGTCGTAAGAATCAAAGCCTCTTGGTGCCAAACGTGCTCGAGCGCGCCGAAGAGAGACGATCTACGCTGAGGGAGTTAGCGAAAGTCGCACGGGCAGAGGGGAGACCGAGGCCTCCGGCAGTCCGCACCGCCTCGCGAAAGGGAAGCAACGATCAACTCCAGATTGGACTTGGGTGCGCCGAGCGCCGGCGCGTAGGTCGCGACCGACGCGCAGCGCGGGCACGTCGCGAGCACAGGAGCGCCGCGGGTGCCGTGCCACTAACCTGGTTGTGCCGGGCAGGGCAGTGCTTGAACGACCACATCGCTGGCGCGGTGAGCACCGCGATTGCCGCGACAGCGCGACAGCGCCTCGCGCCGCCAGCGCGGGCGAGCGCCGCCAGCGCGGGCGAGCGCCGCCAGGCGCCGCCAGCGCGGATTTCTTTTTACTAGGCACGGAAACGGCACACACATAGCGGTTCCTGTGGTGTACCTGTGTTAGTGCCAGTGCGTGCCAATTGTGAGTATAGACGTTGGTTCATTTTAAACTTGTTTACACTTTTTGGAAAAAATGGAGTTTTCATTGGGCCAAATTATATCTTTTGAAT